TGGCATACTTCTGTTTTCTTGAAACGCATACGAACACCAGGGCACCAGCGGAATACTGTGAAAGGCCTGGCACAAATCTGAAAGACACAAAGTCAACACTTGTATCACTATTACACAGCAATGAAGTTTACCATTTTCTGGTTCTTCAACAGAAACTTAAAGTCCAAAGACATCCAATCTCTTTAAACCATAAATATAACTTCTTCACCGTATTGCTAAGCTTCAGACCTCAAGAAATATTTCTTACTGTTTGGTGCCTTACTTTGACAGGAGAAAGTTTCAGGAAGGTTTTTTTCTTGTTGTTTTTTGATTTACTACAATAACCCAAACGCTGAAAGCGGATCTACTCAAAGGGGAAAAAAAAAAAATTCTCCTTCATTCCAGGAGATGTCAGTATAGAGCTATTAGAGATAAATTACCAATTATTATTAAATCAGCCACCAGCAGAGCAGCAAGCGCAGTGAGAGGTTATGAGGCTTGCAGTCCAGAAGACCACCACTGGTCTCTATCTTACCTAGTGGAATGATGCATCTGCTGCGTGTGCGGTTTGAGGAAGAGAAGCAAGATTTCAACATGTACCTTCTCCCTCCCTCAGATGGCAACTGATAAAAGGGGCAAAAAACCTCTTTAATTTCCCTCAGTCAAGACCACACTAAATATTTCTGGCTCTCAGAAATAAACGTGGCTTATTTCTTAGACAGCTAACACAAATCACCACCTAGCCATGAATAAGATATTCATAGCAAAACCTAAACTCCGCTTATTTATGCGCCACTTACGAGTAAAAACAAACTTGCAAGAGACAATGAGATCACTTAAAATGCCAAAATACCTTCAAATATAGCACAACAATATTAGCAAAACCTAATTCTGATAAACACGAGCAAATCGTAAGTCTGTCTGAACAGTCTTCGATAATTTTACTACTTTAAGACTGACTTTATCTAACAAAGTGCATGATAGACTGACCTAAAAATTTATGCAGTTACATAAATATTTTAAGTTGTTAACCCAGATAAGCAATTTTCTGAAGCTGACAGGATTTTTTCAACATTAAAATTTAATATTCCTAGATATGTGCCAATTTAGATGTTTGTTCTTCAAAAGAAAACAACCATACCTTGCATTCTTTTCCGTATTTTTCTTTGGTCTGAAATATAAACAAAAACAATAAAAGAAAATATGAAATACCATTAATTCAACATAGAATACGAAACACATAACTGATGTTATAGCACAGTGGGTTTTCCCTAATTATGCTGCATTTACACTCACCCAGCCTATGTTTTAGGCTTACACCTACCTGCAGGTCAACAGGACAAAAAAAATCCTAAAAAACTCTCAATCCATTTTTGTTTTAGAAACAGTTATTAAAACACAGTATTATAAGCCCCAGCTCACGTACCGATGAAAGGTGAGAATGAAATGGAATATTAATAGCTATTTTTAAGCAAATATGATATCGTTACGTGAAATAAGTACATGAAAGAAAGCAGTTTTTGAAATATCACCTATACCGGCAGTAGAGTTATGTTTAACGAAAATATCATCATCTCTCTCGGCAAACTTGGTGGAACAGAAATGTAAAATAATGCAAATGTAGGACATACACAACTGGACTGAGCACAGAGAAAAGCAGCATAGAGGTACTGACTCATCCCGCACAGAGGAAACCAAGGTAAACAAACATGGATTTAAATTACCGTCAGGCAGCCTTTGTGAGACAGTTTTAACTTATTTTCACAGGCGCGTATCCCTGCGCACTTTAGAAATTGTGCTAAGCTATTTAATATTTCAGCAGTTGTTGCGCTGTTCCCTACGTCACACGATTTACCAGTACCAAAGCTTTGTTTGCCAGTACTTCCCGCACCGTAGAGGAGTGCATCATCTTGTTCTCCTTTTCCACTGATTTATTCTTAAATCACATACCTAATGCCATGACATCACATACCAACAACGGCTGGGACCAAATCCTGCTGTGCAGAACCAACTAATTAGGAGCGCACGTGCACCCCAGCATCTCCTCCGGTAGCCAGGCTTATTTTAGTCCCCAAAACCCCGAGGTTTTAGGGCCAACACAGAGGAAAGGACTGCGCGGTCAAACGGGCACGTACCATTCGAATATACGGGTTTTCTCCGAGACATGTCTGGCACAGAATAGGGAAGTCCTGAAGTGAGCAAGAAGAAGGAAAATCAGGAATTTGCAACAAACTCTGCCAGCACGACAGCATCCGAATCACACTCCGAGCCCTACCGAGTTAAACGAATCAGACCGTTTGCAAAAAGAGGCGTTCAAAAAGAGTCACCGGGAGAGCTGCAAGCCACCACCCAGGGCCTGTATTATGAAAGAACCGCGACCTGCCAGCTATTCCCGTTTGAAGTAAAACTTAAACAAACAAGAAGCGTATTCTTGAGATCTTCGCTCTTCAGCCACCTCGCCGCAGCAGATGCCCCCCCCCCCCCCCCCCCCCCCACCACCTCTCTCCCCCGGCCCCC